TGACTAGATGAGCACACGATTTCACAATAAAATAATCAGTCACATTTTTTAAAAAGGGCAAATTTATGCAGCCACTCGGAAGAAAAAAAAGCAAAGTGCAGCCTAAAATTCTTTTTAGTTACAATGGGAAATGAAGCACGAATAAGATGCTTCTGAATCTGTAGAAGAACTGTAATTAAAGAAGAGAGTCAAATCCACAGATATGCACAACATACAGAAGGAGGTTCTCAGAGAGGCAGCATAGAAGAATCCTAAAGTATTTTTCCACTGCAAGCCCTGGGGACATCCCTCCTTAATTTGATCTCTAACAAGAAGCTATTTCCAAAAGCCCCTCTGTTTACCCTGGAATAAAACCCGGGTGTCAGGAAAAGGTCTAGCTAATTTTCTCACTAAAAAGCTACTGCATACATAGTCCATGCATAGATGCTGAAATCTGAGCTTCATTACAAATGGGAAAAAACAATTTTCTAAGTATGGCAGGGGAAAACCCCAGAGGAGAGTCTGTCTGCAGCCAAGCCAAGCTTGAGTTTGGCTCCAGTCCTGAATCACATCCCTTTCTGTCATTTGCCAAACACCATCTCGGTTCTCCAGATGCTGCCAACATCCTAATATCACACTGCATTTAAGTACCATTCCTGCTCTCCTTCCCTGTATTATAGAGTTCTTGGCCTGTTTTCAATAGCTTTTCTAAACCGCATCCGAATTCTCTCTGATAGGTTTCAATGGCTCACTGAGAGGCAGATAATCCACCCTTTGTCACCACGGATCGAGTCCTGTCTCAAAAAAAGAACAACTCCATTTCATCAAAGAAAAAATAGTTAGGAATGAATTTGCCACTGCTAACAAGCTTGGCTGGGTCAGAGCTTTGTGTGCTGGGACAAAGAGTTTAAGACCCTGAAACATGTTAGTATTGCAAAGAATATTCTATTCGGTCCCTGTCATACGCATTTTAATGCGGAAGATCACTTGTATTTTGTTCAATCATAACCTACACTAGAGGAAGAGTCCCCGTCAGATCCGTATAAATCCTTACCCGTCAGATCCTTATAAATTCTCCTGCTCCGCTGTGGATCTAATTCAATATGAACTCGTTTTTTCTATTGTATGAGAGGTCTCAGTGCCCCTACCCATTTCCAGATGTAGCAAGACAGCTGGCCAAATTCAGCCCTCAGCTAACCCAGGGCGATGCCAAGAGGAAGACAACCATTCCCAGCTCTCAGTCATCGCTTCATTCATGCAGAGCTTGAATCCAACTGGGAGCCCAGTGTGCAATGGAAGCTGTTAAAAAAAAGTTCCAGGAAACAACTTTCCCACTTGACAGCAGGGCAATGGAGAATAGCTCCGTGTCCTCAGGGAAGCCCAGGATCTGTGATGTTTGAAGACTGAAGGGCTTTATTCTTCACAAACAGAGAGACACTTACTGCAAAACATTATCTACAGAGATTTGTTTGAAACTGTAAACACATCTGCTTTGGCCTTGCTCAGACTTCTCTCACGGTCCCATTCCATGAATGTTCATGCAAGTGAGTTCTCAGTAACCTGGCTCTTTGCTAAAGTCAGATTTACATCTGCTTTCTCAAGTTCAGGCAGCAGGTAAATTTTCTATGAGTGTGCCCTGGGATGTTCAGGGAGATGGTTTCTATTCAGGGGGCAGACACGAGGCTGCTTAATGATAAGAGCATTAAAAACCAAGAAGTGCAGCTCAAATTGCAAGGCAATAAGCAAGAAGAACCTTGTAGGATAATTTTGAAAGAAACAATGCATCTGAGAAACATCACAACCCGCTCCTTGCTGTTCACTAGAAAAGAGGAGAAACTTCACCGTATGAGCTATTTGTTATGAAAGTATTCGGTTCAGTTCCAGGAACAACAAACCAGATGAAACTATGTGTTTGTCAGCTCCCTAAACTCTGCTGGAAGTGGACATAAGTGTCAGGCGATTTCATCAGAGTTGTTGTTATGACATTTTGTTTTCCTTCCATTAAAAACATCTAACCGCAGCAACTGCAAAGGAAAAAAAACCCTATATCGCTCCCCTGAACATTTCCTTACCTCACATCTCCTTAGTGATTTTCCATCTCTGCAAGCGATGCTTTAATTAACTAAAAACCTCCTGACTCTGAGCAGGTTGGAGGTGCTGTCCCACAGCCCCATCACAGCACGGCAAGCAGATTATTCCTCTAAAGCAAAGCAACACCACCGGGGAGGCTAAAAATACCGGGGACACCTGAGTTGCTCCATTTGATTGCACAGGATTTAGCCAAGGAGAGGGATGGTCCCTGCATGCAGATGGCTTACTGCCTCTTTGTAGTCACCACTTCTTCTGGGGTATAAAACCTTTTGAAGGGGAGATCAGGGGATAGACTGGACTGTTTTAATTACTTTAGCCACCAGGCGTTGGTAACCACTGCTCTTGACCCACACTAAGATCATCATCACTGTCCAGGGGATGGCAGTGAAAGGTGTAAGAAATGGCAGAGATTTTTTTCCATGAGGTATTTTCCAAACCAAACCTGCAGGGGAAACTCATTAGTTGCATAATATTGGGTATCTGAGCAGAGGCTGTAGTTATAATGACGCTGCAACTCATCAGATAAGGACTCTGACACCACTTCGTGATAGCTGAACTTTAAAAAATTCCCACTGAAAGGCCCTTTAGAATAAGGACAGTCCCAAGGGTTAAAGGAGCAGAAGCCCATACCCAGTTCTGCTTTCGTGCTTCTCAGCAGTCTCATATTCCCTGAATTAAGCTACTTTTAAATTTTTCGTCTCTGGGAAGATACTTCAGAATCTATTTGTGACAGTCAAAATTCTAAAATATGGGCAAAATCTCTGCTCCCTAAGGCTATTTCTTGAGACAGCTATTTCTTGAGTATCATTAAAGTGAGAAAAACAAACTCTGAAGGCCAAATTCATGCCTGGTCTCATTCAACTGACCTCAGCCCCAGCGCTCCAGCAATGGACTTGGCCATGCACATCCATTATGCTGTCTGCTTACAAACTGACTGAATTGCATCTAAACCTACCATCTCAGTGGATTTTTTGGCACCATTCTCTTTATAACACTTGTAAACGAGGCCCCCTTTTCCCCAGCCCCTTAGGCGTTCATATTCCAGGGGCTTAACAGTGTGGGTGTCGAGTAATGTCCCTTCCCAGCCTTCACTCAGTAAAAATGGCACAATAAATTGTTTTTTTTCTCAAATGTTTCCCAGAAAATAATGTACTTTTCATCCCCATTATACAAGATTTCACTGTTTTTTTGATAGCAATTTATCGCAGTAGACTTTAGCTGCTTGTTAAACACTTCCTAAATGGTGAGTGACTAATAAAAATGAGATTATGGGAATTGCTTGGTGTGTGGGCCACACCAGGCCTACAATTTAGCTTACCTTTCCCTGAAAACTGAAGATCTACACACTGGTCTCCAGGCTGCAAAATAATTTTAGATCCTACTTTGATTAGTAGGAAGTCTGTGAGCAACCTGACTGATTTGATGTCTGGGGGTAGCACCACTGACGGACTGATGGTGGCCCCGTATGAAAGGTTCCTGTAATGCAGTGGGATTTCTCAAAAAAATGTGACTTAAAATGACGGGAAAAAATCTCTAGTCTGAAGATGCTGTGAGCTGGACGTAGAAGTTCAGCTAAGGCTGTGACATTGTCTTGGTGGCCTTGTACAAGACACTTGCTGCTCTGTGGCAGTTTTCTTCATCCATCAAACGGGGTTTTAACATGCTGAGTGCCCCTTGTGGTCCAGTGGAGGACATTCAAATGCCTCCGTCCAAGAAAAACAGTCACTCTTCTAATGGGTGATGGGCTGATTTCCCTGGATGTGCCTCCAGAGCCAGACGCAACAGAGAGAAACACTCCCTGGAAGAAGTCAGCACTTTTTTTTTTCTTTAGATTCCTGCTCAAAACTGATCCCTGTGGCATAATAATGAGTTTGGGAGTAAACTGTGATGGTGAGTGTTTGGCTGAGAAATGTATCTATTACGCCGTCTCTTCTGCTCCTCATCCCAACATGCTTATTTCTTCCCTCATTTTTTTATTTCTTGCCTTCTGTGTGTGAAGTTTCTTTGGGAAGAGGAAAAAGTGTTGCTATTATACATGGACATTGTGTAGCGCCATCGAGTCCCCTTCAGCGGCCCCCAATCAGTTTATTATTAACGTTGCAAACTATCACCATCCTTCTGCAAAGTGCCTTTCTTGCTGGGACCCATAACAAACACTTGAATTACACTAATACCGCCCGTTATCTACCAATTAAAACCTGTTAAATTCTCAGGTCCAATACAAGGTCGTCTTCCTGAGGTGAATTTCTCAGCAAATTAAGGATTTAGATGACACCGAGCACCTGAGGAGACTCTGCTGCCCCTGGGTTTGCCAGGCACCATGAATATTTGTTGAATATTCATTTCAGAGGCAGCAGCAGGTGAATAACAATTACCACAGTTCTTCAGGATCCAGCTTGGGTATCCATGAGGGACAGCATTATGCTTTGAAATTAAAATATGCAGAAAAACTGGTAAAATATTATTAGTTCTGTTAAGTGCCTGTACCAACATGGTCAAATGCGTTTCCAACCCCCTTTTCTGAGGGGAGAATGAATTAGCCCACTACCCTTCGAGAGTAATACTGCTGCTAGAGCTTGATGGCTTTACATATTGAGGAATAAAAAGTGGTTGGTTGGGTTTTTTTCCCTGAAATATTCTCCAGGAGCTTCGTGTACACCTGTACCAGGCAGGAGGGCTGGCAGGGGGCCTGGAGGCGGTGGGCCCCAACAGGACAGAGAGGCCTCTCTGGGGCTCAGCTCAGGACTGTGGAGGATGGCGAGCTCCCCACCGCCCTCCCGGACCAGCCCCGGGGCTCTGGGACACGGGGACATGGCGACAGAAGCACGACGCCCCCAAAACACCCTCGATGCCCGCCATCGCCCTGCCCTCACTCAAGATGGCGGCGGCGGCACCGCCCCGCCCGCCTCTCGCGAGGTTTGTGGCGGGGGCCGGGCGCTGCCCCCTGCAAATGGCGGCGCGGAGGCCGGGCGTGCTGAGCTGAGGCGGGAGGTGCCGCCATGGAGCACATCACCACCCCAAAGGTAAGGGGCTGTGCCGTGTTGCCCCGGGAGTCAGTCGCCATCTCATCGGGGTCCTCCGACTGGGGCTGTGGGGCTCCGCTCGCCGCCCTGCTCTGGGGCCTCCCCGCCGGACACCTGAGGTGAAGCCCCTCTGGGGGCGGCCGGGCTGTTGTCAGGGCCCTGCTTACAAGGGCTTTTTTGTTTTTATTTGTTTATTTTAAGATGATTAATTTCAGTAAACGAGCTACCTTAGCTTTCCTGCAAGGCTTACTTATCCGTGACTGCCTCTTGCACCTCTCAGACGGGTCACGGATAAGTCTGGAAGGCTTAAACCTGCTTGACGTGGTGTTTAAGTATTTATTTCTGCATCGCCTTGTTGGAAAGGGAATTTTTAGTAAGGGTACTGATCTAAAGGTATTAAGGGTACGATTCTTGTAAACTTTGTGTCAAAGTGGGGAGATTTCCTCAGGCCAAAAAAGTGAACCAAAATGAGCCTTTTCAGTTGAATAAAGTGTAACAGGAGCCCTGGGAATGCTGTGCTCACGACAGCTGAAAAAAACCTGTATTTACTTCAGGCAACTGTCTGCGATTTTTTTATTTCATTTTTTTAATCCCATGAAGGTTGCTGTATTCTGTTTTGCCTTATTCTGTAGGATATTATTTTGGGGATGCTCCTTACCCGGGTTGCTGGAGGTGCTTTGCTGGGCCTGTTTGTCTCTAGTGGCCTGAATAAAGGGCAATTCTAAGTATAATAATTATATGTGCTGCAAAATAGGACATTCTAAGAAGACATACAGCCAAGACCTCTGTGCTTCAAATTTCTTTGCTGATGTTTTCTGTCTCAGACCACTGATTCTGTAAGGAAGCTTACATATTCAATACCCAGAAGTAATTTATCATATACTGTTACACTGTTTGTTTTCATTGTTCTCCCAGTTCTGTTGGGTTTTTTCCTCCATTATTTTTGCTTAACGATGAAAGAAAAATTCCATCTATCTTCATTAAGAAGCAAATAAGCCAGGAGAAAATCAAATAACATAAAATACTTTATTATGTCTGTGCTGATGGTTTTTAAAATTGTTTTTATTTTATAGTGCATTTTATGAAATGCTCTTCCATGCCTAGGAAGTGTGTTACAAAAAGTAGCTACTAATACTTTTTTCTAGTGACTGAGCAGCTGAAGGTCAGACTGGAGAGGGCTTTTTTTCCAGAGCAATACTTTGATTATACTAAACGTGAACAGTCGTTTCTTCTGCAGTTCTTTGTCTTATTATTTGTCCTATTTGTCTTATTATTGCGGCCTTGCGTGGTAATAAACTGTGATCATCTTGGCAAAAACCCAGTAATCCTGTTACTCACACTGGTGCTAAACCTTGGCTGTTTGTTTAACCTTTTTGGCTTTGATTGCTGGAGAAATAATTGAATTCATAGTGTTTCAGGGGAGACTTTAACTCATATATTTTTCTGTCTTATTTCCTGAGTTGTATATTAGAAGTTAAATGATTGTGGTTCAACAAGTGCTTGGATGTTTCCTTGACTGAAGTTAAATTCATTTTTTCATACTCTTTGTTATGTTGCAGGTTGAAAATGTGAAATTACTAGATCGCTATATGAATAGGAAGGCAGCAAATGGGACGTTGTACCTGACAGCCACCCACCTCATCTATGTTGAAGCTTCTGCTGAAGTCAGAAAAGAAACATGGGTATGTTGTGATACCTGGACTCCGTTTAAACACAGGTTTAAAAATGGCTTTATATCCTATATCCAAAATGAAAGGAGTTCCAAAGTCGTAATGGTCTTTTATACCATTTTGATGCCAATTGCTTAACAGAAACAGCTCTTGTGGAAGGAAATGAATACAATGCGACTTGATAGAGGTCACTTACTGAATTACTGTAAGTTCCAGGAACATAAAACACGTCTCGTTTCCTATCTCAAACTCAATATACCAAGCCACCAAACCTGAATTTACAGCTTTTAGCAGTGCAAAATTAGCACTGAAACTAACTTTTTTTATTCTAAAGTAAAAAGGGAATGACAAAATATATTGTGTATGTGGAAAGCAAAGTGAACCAGGTAAACCAAGCTGTGCATCAGTCTCTAAAAATAATTCATACACATCTGTGTTTTTCAGTCTTGCTTTTACTTTGCCTTTGGGCACACAGTCTGGATGTTTATTGTATTTGTTTGATAAATATCACAAATAAACTCATTTTCTGCTGCTAGTTAGATGTGGTAAGCATAAATAACTGGTAGCATTGCAAAAACTTTAATATCTGCTTGTACTGCTCCCGACCTTATCAGTGGCTTCTGAAAAATGTTGTTTATTTCCTGTTTTTCAGATTCTGCATCACCATATTGCAACTGTAGAAAAGCTGCCTCTGGCCACGGCTGGGTACCCGCTCCTCATCCACTGCAAGAACTTCCACGTGGCTCACTTTGTCATCGGGCAGGAACGTGACTGTCACGAAGTCTATACCTCCTTGCTTAAACTTTCCCAACCAGGTATTTGGGATGGACAGGAGTCTGTTTTGCAAATTGTTGAAAGGCTTTAAGCTGGGAGGGTCATCTGAGTGCTGGAGAAAGCTTTTCCAGAGTGTTGGTGTGGGTATGGTAGAGGGAGGATCATGGGATGGTTAAAGCTGGAAGGGACCTTAAAGCCCATGCAGTGCCAGCCCCTGCCCTGGGCAGGGACACCTCCCACCAGACCAGGTTGCTCCAAGCCCCCTCCAACCTGGCCTTGAACCCCTCCAGGGATGGGGCAGCCACAGCTTCTCTGGCCAACCTGGGCCGGGCTCTCACCACCCTCACAGCAAAGAAGTTCTTCCCCAGATCTTATCTCGATCTCCTCTCTTTCAGTTTAAAGCCATTCCCTCTCCTCCTGTGCCTCCCCTCCCTGATCAAGAGGCCCTCCCCAAGGATGTGAAATCAGAATTGGTTTCCACCACCAGAGACAGTCTGTGTGGGTTTGCTCAGAAGCAGAGTGCTGTCCCACTTCCAAACTAAACAGATCTTTTGTGCTTGGGGGAATGAGCTGGTCTCCCGCGAGGAACTTCTGAGGACTGGTGCGAAATTAATTTGCCTGACTGAGTCTGTCTGTGGCATCTCAGGCTTTTTTCCTGTGTAAGTGTCACGTCATGGGATGTGACATGGTATGGACCTGGCCATTGTCAGTCATTCCTGTGACTTACCTGTTGCCTGTGTGTAGTTCTGCCCTTTCCAGTTGATCCCACAAAGAAAGCTTTAAACGCTGGCACCTTCCATTTGTTGCTCAGTAGCAGGTTCAGGCTGTTCTTCAGCATTTGTCTTCTCTCTCAGTTGTGAAAACCTGTGCTTCAGCCTGGCTGCCCTGACGTGGGGTCACTCTTAAAAATGAGTGTGAGTAAAACATCCTCAAAAGCCCATGGTCTCTTCAGGCTTTGGCTTTTCAGTCTCATTGGAGATGAATCTCCAGGCTCCTCGTTCTTCCCGCAGGACAGCATTCCATCTGGTTTCCTACCTGGCTTTGTCTGTGGCAGCTTCTGGGTTTGGGATGCTCCTTCACTGAGTTTTGGAGTTTGCCATTATTAGAAGGATGCCATTTATAATAGATTTTTTTTAATTATGTCACTAGTCTAATTGACAGCACCAGTCTGCTCCATGCTGGCCGTCACATGGGACTTGAAATGCTGGAGTGGAAATGGGTTTTGCTGAGTCTGGAGGTTTTTTGACTGATATTAAGGCCTGTGTCTATTCCCAGCATCTCCCCTGTGCTCTGAGCTTTGGAATTCTCTTAGTTCTGAAGTTGTAATTCTGGTGCTGTATCTGGCAAGTTTCTGGTGTTAGGTTTAAAAGCTGTCACTGTTCTTTCAGTTTAGAAAATTAGAGACTTATGTAGCGCCTTGAAGCGTGGGAGCTGTCACTGCAGGGATTACATCAGCTTCTTTTGTCTTGTGGTTATTTGTCTGATACGCTGTAGCTCTTTCTTGTGTTCTATTTACGGATTTTAACAGTTCTCTTTTGTTGTTTTAAAATGTCTGTATGTGTGCTTCCTTCAGCTTTTTTTTTTTTTTTTTGGCAGAGCATATAATTATTTCTGATTAGTACAGGTATGATTGGCAACTGTGGGTTACCTGGCTGGGAACCCGGCGGCTTTATCAGACTCCGACAGGTTTCACTCTGTCTCTGGAGCTCTTGCTGCCTTTGGGAATCAGCTGAATGAGTTATTGGTTGGATTTGCATTTTATGAAGAGAGGGAAGGAAATTGGGATGGTGGAGATGGAGGGAGGAAGAAATTACCATTTGTCAGACACAGCCTGAAGCTTTTGTTGGGCTGACAGTAATATTCAAGACATTGATCAAATTTTCCATGTGGCTCAGGACTCACTGTTGAACAATGAACTTACAGGTGTGCAAGAGCTGGTTTAGGAACTCTTCACACAGAATATATCTTTTAATATAAATTTTCATTTATGGCTTAATTCTTACGGTATAAATCTTGTCTGACATGCCTGTACTTGTCTGACATTGCAGTGAATTCAGTAGGAAATCATTTGTTTGGGAAAAATCACTGCTTCAAAGCTTTAATTCTAACAAAGTGTTGTAGTGTATCTCTCTGCGTGTGGGAACTGAGTGTTGGAAATTCCTGAGAATTTCTGTATGGATTGTTGGCACTCGGTGCTACTCCGAACTAAAAACTGTAAATGTGAGATAGAAGTGTACAGATATTTAAAATCTCTCAATGTAGTACTCCGTTCTTTTTTTCTTTTTAAGAAGTGAGAATCAGTCTAAGTTTGCTTAGAGTAGTGAAGTGTGCAAAGTGATAAAAGAAAACTTCATGCATCTGATCTTTGAGGAGGCAGCAGCATAAGGAAAATAGCAATTATTACAATGTAGCCAACTCTGCAGTGCAGTGGCATAGCCCTTCAGCTTCTGTAGTAAATGATTTTTATGTCTCCTGGTCTTTCTTGGCTGAGTAATTTATTTCAGCCTCGTATCAGTTGTGCACCTGCAGCACATTCTCTTGCACACATCCAAAAGATGGCCTTTAGGAGGAAGTGTTGACCTCCCTCTGTGTCTTTGTACCTCTCTCTAACTGGTTAATTTTTTTTTTTTCTTTCTTCTTCCCAGTGAAACCTGAAGAACTTTATGCTTTCTCTTATAATCCTAAAATGTCTAAAGAGAACCGGGAGATCGGATGGAAGCTGATTGACTTAAAAGTAGATTACCAGCGTATGGGAATTCCAAACGACTACTGGGAAATAACGGATGTTAATAAGGACTATGAGGTAATTCTCACCCAAGGTAGCCATCTTATGCAGTATCTCTTTGTTATTAATGACATACAGCAGTCCTTCTACTGCAGCAGAAGTGATGCCTCTTGGGAGGAATGGGCTCAGTTGGCTTTAATCGAAGCAGCATCGATGCGTCTTGATGTGAAGTTGCAGATAATGAAGCTATGGAAGAACAGAGCAGAGCTGCAGAGTCACCTTGCTTTGCTTTGATCCCCTTGGCAAAGTACCAGATACTTGTTTTTCTAAAGGAAAGTCATACCATCTGTTATGAAAAACCTGAAGTATCCTTAGCTGCTTTTGGTGTTTCCAAGCCTTGTCCCACCAGGCTGGTGACAGATGTGTAGAAGAGAGATAAATCTTGCTTAGAGTAGTGAAGGGCCAGGAGTTTGGCTTGGTGGGGAGTGAGGGAGAGTGGAAAGGGACCAGGTGAGGAAAGAAAAAACAGTAACAGAAAACAGAAGTTTGTTTTTTTCCTTGCTTGGTTGGATCTTTTGCGAAATAAGGTCTCAGTCATTTCGGTCCTAAGTGGGTGTTGCCACTTTTTCTCCTTTCTCCCCTGTAAAGATCTAAACAGCATTAAATGAAAGTTGAATCTAAACAGCGTTAAATGAAAGCGTTTTTCAACAAGCTTACTCAAACTCCTACTTTGTATTATTTCCCTCTTTATTTCTTCTGTGTACAGTCACACCTTTCTGTCTAAATAACAAAGCAAACAACTATGAGGAAGACACTGATATATTCTTGAATCCCTTTCCCCTGCTCTCCTCTTCCTTCCCCCACTAGGCTTCTTTACTTTTATGTTTTGGGATATAAAAACAGAAGCCTGTGCTGTCAGAAGGGACTGGTGGTTTTAAATGACTGTATCTTTGGATGCCTGCATTGAGATAGGAAGTGAGAGGTGCTCTTTCCATTAGCTGATTTAGGGCACCTGAATGTGGGCGTCTAAAATCATTAATCACTTCGAAGCTTTACTTGCTGGTGTATAACTCTCAAATGCCAGTGGTTTATCATTTCCTCAGGTTTTCCAATTTATGTTTGAAAATTGTCAAGCCTAAAGTAAAGCCAGACTTGAAGAACAGCTTATCTCTGAAGTTTGTGCTGAAAATACTGTACTTGCTTGAGGAAAAAGGATAAAGCTGGTCTCTGTGGATGCCACCTGATTGCTGGAAGCTCATTTCAATAAGATTTAGAGGGAACTCTTTAAATATAGTTGTTCTTAATTTCTCTTTTTGTGACAAATCAGAAACTTTCATAAAATGTATGGATTTAAAGAGCTGCCTTTTAGTATGGATTGCGTCCCGTGTGGTCCATTTGTTGTGGATTCAATTGCAAAATTGTTTCCTTCACCACATTGTTTTATTTTGCACCGTTCCTGTGTTGTTCTTCTAAATGCATCTTAATGGCATGAAACTACATGTGGACTGTATGAGATACACTCCGGCAAACAGTCTCTTCCTGTTGTGTATAAATGCTAGATCATAAGCTAAAGATGAATTTTTCATGAAGTTGGAATTGCTAAGTAGTAATATCTGGATTTTTTTTTTTCCCCTCTCTTCTTGCTTTAGGTTTGCAACACCTATCCCCCAGAAATAGTGGTGCCTCGAGCCGCTAATAAGGCAGTGGTGATCGGAAGCTCAAGGTTCAGGAGCAGAGGGCGGATTCCGGTGCTTTCCTACTTGTATAAAGAAAACAATGTTAGTTATTCAATCTCTTCTGTTTTTGTGGGGAGTAAGGGTTCCCCTCTTTGTCCAGTCCCCTTTTAGTGAAAGGAGAGAACAAGCTAATTATTAGAGTGTATTAAATCCATGTTTGAGAACTGTGCTTCTCTTGATGGCTTTAATATTGGTTTGTTCTGAGTCGCAGAATAAGCTGAAGACAAACGCTTGGGATGCATCCAGAGCTGTGCAAAAAGCATGGACCTTGTAAGATTCCTGTCTGGATATTTTTTTTTAAATCAGCTTTCAGCAGTGCCTCCTATTTTTTTTTTTCTTAATCTACTGTTTAGCTATATTGATCAAAGCTTTAAGAAGATAAGTGTTAACTTAGCTAGATTTTCTTAGTATTGAAGAGGAGGAAACCACCCTGAAATAAACCCCCACGAGCTTGGAATAAGCGAAGGTTTCAGGTTTTTTTTTTTCCACTGAAGACCAGAATGTAAATTTTTAACTTTGCTGTCTCAGCACTAGTTTAGATGCAGATGTTGGGAAATTGCTGTCACAGTCAAATTGTTGTTTTCCTGAGGAAGCATGACTTGACCTGGGCAACTGAATGGAGTTGTACTGGCAGCTTCTGACGTTTCCCTAAAGCATGTGCCATGCAGTTCTGAGCCTGGAACGGTAACAACCGATAAGTAAAGTTGTGGAAAAGAAAAATAGAAACCAAGTAGAAAACATGAGAAATGCTAACATTTGGGATACTGACCATCAGGCAGAGTACAGTGGGTTTGAGGACACAGCAATGAAATTTGCAGCAGGGCTCCTTAGCCTCACTGCTTTAAGATTCCCAAACTTCTAGCTTTGTGGATTATCCCAGTGGTATTTGTGTATGGCCATTGAAGTAGGAATTTTTCAGTCAAAGAGAATAGGACACCTAATCCTGGTGGATTCTTTGGGGCAGTGCAGCAGAGGCGACCTGGAAGCAGTGAAATGTGAGTTGCTGTGTGTTGCAGGCTGCCATATGCCGCTGCAGCCAGCCCCTCGCCGGGTTCAGCGCCCGCTGTCTGGAGGATGAACAGATGCTGCAGGCCATCAGAGAAGCCAACCCTGGGAGCCCCTTCATGTATGTTGTTGACACGAGGCCAAAGGTACCTTCATGGGGTTTGTGGCTACTTTTAAAGCTTACCTCTGAATTAGTAGTGATGTTTCCAGCTCATTCTTTTCACACCTCTGCTGGTGCTTTCTTACGCTGTGTTAGATTAAATTGTGCTAGTCCTGAATTGGGGATTCAGTATCAGGCTCTTGGTTCAGTGTCTTAATGTGACAAAAGCTTGAGTGTAATAAAACTGGAATGTTAAGTGGTGTTAAGAATTCTGGTGCTGCTGGAGGATTCTGGGTTGAGGCTGATGTTAAGGATGACCTGGAGGAACTGGCAGTCTTGAAGCTGGCAGAGCCAGTGAAGCATTTTCCTGCAGAGAGCCAGGTCCTTAATATGTTGAGTTGGAGAGAAGCCTCTGGATGCAGTTCCGTGAGGCTGAAGTGCCTTTATCAGCAGATCTGGGAAGAAGTGGGACTCTGTGGAGTCTGATAACAATTGACAAAAGCAATCCCTCCATTCTTTTTTGGCCTTTGTAAAAATAACACAAATGTTCCCATGATGCGCAGCTTGGAGTTCGATACAGTTTGGCTCTTCTGGTCTGTGGCTGCTATTTGGGGCTAGAACTTTGCTGAGGTGTTTATGTAAGAGGATATTAAAGAAACATTTGCAAAATGAGATCTCTAATGGCTGTCATCGAGAGGAACTGAATTTAGAAACCAATTCAAATTATTATCTTGCAAGCATATTGATTGGGAGTGTCGGTATAAGCAAATTAGAACACAGGAATCGATTATTTAAACTAAGATTTAAAAGTGCTCTGTTTTAAAATTGAGCTTTCTGAGAACCTGCTTCACTGGTCACATATTGCAGTTACTTTATAGAATCTACAGATTTAGTTAAACCATGGCAAGGGCAAGAAGGGAAAAAGTCTTGGAAGCGTTTCACCTGTTGTTCTAAGATGTATTTTGGCTTTTTTTGTAGTATGACATTTCCTAGAGAGAACCAATTCTGTAACTACATCTACGTTTATAGCAATCACTGCATCTTCTTCTGGTGCAGTGTCCAGTGTCATAGATGTTCCACTGAAACCTATCATTGATGGCAATTCTGTTCTAAAGTACTTGGTGAAAAAGGGAGAATTAATAATTGGTCACACTTCTAACACAACATGTCTTAACTCTGAATGGTAGAGCTGAAGCACTAGGGTTACTTCATTGATTCTGATTCTTCCTTCTCTCTATGGAGGCAAATTGTTCCTCTTCCCAAATTACTCTGGGGGCTGTTTTAGGTAATTGTTAGAGCAACTGGCTTCTTTTCTACTTCTTTTCTGCAGTTCCAGTTGGTTGCTGTATTCTTTCTGCTCAACTTTAATATTTCTATGTTTCCCTCAGGTGGCTTTATTTCATCTGTGCATGTATGTCTGTGAAAAGCTTTGGAATTCTCTTACTATTTCTATACCACCATGTATGTATGTTACTCGTAAAAATGGCTTTCCTAGTTTTACTTTCATATCCTTCTGCCCGAATCTTTTTATGTAGCTTCCCTCTTAAGGCAGACTCAATGTTTCTTTACCTGTTTTGATGACAGCAATATTCTGAAGTTGGGCACTGTTTTTGTACTGCCTACTCTAAGAACTTCTTAATGAGTCTCTGCATATGACTAATGGACTGGAGACACTGGCATAATTTTAGTGAAACAGCTGGAAATAATGTCTGGGAGGTGGGGAAGTACGTCTGAGTAACAGCTTTGTTCAGTATATTTTCTGGGAGATTTAAAAAAAAAAAAAAAAAAAAAAATTTTAAAAAAACCCTTTTTATTCTTTTATTTTTTTTAT